ATGGCTTACTATGTACTATCATGGCTTACTATGTACTATCATGGCTTACTATGTACTATCATGACTTACTATGTACAATCATGGCTTAATATGTACTATCATGGCTTAATATGTACTACCATGGCTTACCATGTGCTACCATGACTTAATATGTACTACTATGGCTTACCATGTGCTACCATGACTTAATATGTACTACCATGGCTTACCATGTGCTACCATGACTTAATATGTACTACCATGACTTACTATGTACTACCATGTGACTTAATATGTACTACTATGGCTTACCATGTGCTACCATGGCTTACCATATGCTACCATGTGACTTAATATGTGCTACCATGGCTTACTATGCAATATCACAAGTTACTATGTACTACCATGGCCTACCATGTGCTACCACGACTTAATATGTACTATCATGGCTTGCTATGTACTACCATCATGACTTAAAGTGCCTATGACACCTAACTCAATGTTTTCAGCATTGACTCTACATGAAGTTAAAAGTTAAATAGTAAACTATTTTTATATGATTTGAGTGATGCATCTTGTAGATATCAAGGTTTATACTTCCAGTATACTAATGAGTGTGATGTCATAGTAGGCATTATTAAATATACGAAAATTTACAGAGGTAGTAAAATATCCTGTATAAAACATAATTATCTTACTCAGGGTTTATAGAAAGGTTATTGTAAATTTGTTTTCTCATAATCAGTGTTTTGATTTAAAAATGATGACAAATACACCCAAATGCCTACTACGACATCACACTCATGATTAGCATACTGGAAGTATAAATTTGAGAATTAAGAAGGAAAGAAAACATCAGTTGGGCCATTTTACAGCTGTTCAAGGTCACTTCACGCGAAAGTTGAAGCGAGAGACGTTGAAACTTGATGTTGAAACTTCAAGAGCTTTCGCCTACTTTATCCGTAAAAAGGTACATAATACTTCTGTACAAAGAAAGCAGCTTATTCAACTATTTTGATTGTTTAGGAATTGAAAAAAGAGGATATTTGGTGTTTTATGTCAGTACGTTTTGCAGAATTTCTTCGCAATATGCTTACTTGTTTTCTCAAAAAAATGTCAAATATTTGAAGTCTTGGAGATGAAAAAAATGCCGTAAAAGTCCGGTCAGTAGGTGGGTTCTTGGTGCCTCCCCTCCCTCTATGTTTTTTATTATTGTTGTTGTTGTTAGTGGACCCACCTACCCTCAGTCCGCCTAATCTTCACCCCCCCTGTCTACAGGATATTTTTCCAAGGCTCGTTTTGAGAGGACAAAATCAAAATATCGAAAAGTCATTTCAAATATATATTTTGATTTTTAATTTTTGAATTCGAAAATTGACATTGATGAGATAATTTTCGAATTTTGACATGATCGTAAAAAAATGAAAAGTTCAAAAATCAGGCAAATTTCATATGTCCAATTCACGCTAACTAAATTGAAAAGCTCTTTGTGGAGTGTTACACGGACCACACGGACCATTCACGTATTTGAATTTGTATTCACGTATTTGAATTTGTATTCACGTATTTGAATTTGTATTCACGTATTTGAATTTGTATTCACGCATTTGAATTTGTATTCGTGTATTTGAATTTGTATTCATGTATTTGAATTTGTATTCATGTATTTGAATTTTTATTCGTGTATTTGAATTTGAATTTGTATTCGTGTATTTGAATTTGTATTCGTGTATTTGAATTTGTATTCGTGTATTTGAATTTGTATTCGTGTATTTGAATTTGTATTCGTGTATTTGAATTTGTATTTGTGTATTTGAATTTGTATTTGTGTATTTGAATTTGTATTTGTGTATTTGAATTTGTATTCGTGTTTTTGAATTTGTATTCGTGTATTTGGATTTGAGGTTCTCTAAAAGGACTCGTCTGCTTCCCAATGAATTAGTTCATCAAGAGTAACCTTTCTTCCCTTGGTTCTTTCAATCTCGTCTATCCTTTCTTTTTTGGCAATGTCCTCGCAACATCCATAAAACAAAAATCTGAAAAATGTCTTTACCTACTTGATCGTCCCTGTTTCATCCTGGTCTTTTTCAAGTTTTAAGTTTTCCATTTGTTTCACGAGATTTGCTATTGCTCTTTGTCCTGTTCTGCGTTTGAACAGCACAGGGTTAAGAACACGACCACTTCTCAGCTTCATGGTTTACGGGACTCTCTAAGATCTCGAAGGAACAAAGTGGTGAATGCGTCTCTGATTGAATGCCCTGTATCCTCTCTTTCAAATTATATATTCTTTCGGACATTCCCCAAAAATGTAACATTTCTTACATTCAAAAAATAATAAAAAAATTAAAAAATTAAAAATAAAAAACCACATTCTTTCTTTTGTTCCTACATTCCACACAAAAACAAAGTTTTCAACATTCCTTATTCTTTTTGAGCATCGTCCCTCAAGTCTAAAGTCCAAAGCCCTCTGTCGGTCTTACATAATCGTAAATAACCGGATTAAGTTAATTCCTGGATAGTAACATATTTTTCTCAAGAATTCCTGAACCCATGGTTGTGATAGTCCTGATTCCTCAAGTGACTCTACATTAAACCTCTTTGAAATATCCGGGCACAAAAGCATTTAAGAAATACCGTTTTTCTCTCCCACCACCCCCACCCCCTCCTTAACAAGTTTATTCAAAATAAAGCGAGGCTGGTTTTATTCCGCGAGTGGTGATGTCATCCAGTTACACATTCTGACAAATCCCCCTCCCCTCCCCTCACTGAGATAGACATACGGTCAAAGTCCAACTGACCACCCCTCCCCTAATTATGCCATATTGGGGGGTTTAACTACTAAGGAGTTGATAAAGAACAAATGCATTCTTATTATAGAGGTGTCTGTACCTGAAAAATCTATCACTTTATTGTTTCATAGTGTTACATTACTACAAACTTTACTTTAAAAAAATATTAAACTTAAAAAAACGTTTTTAAGAATAATTAAAGGAGCCCTACTTGGATTTTGTAAAGGAAAAAAGCACATGGATTCATTATCCAGAATGACTTCCCTCTATTTAGGATGAGCCTAATGTCTCTAAAAAAAGAACATTGCATACCAAAAAGAAAGAATCCATAAGATAAGACCCTCATTGGTTAGCTTTGCACTAGCACGTGGGTCAGCGTCCTCTCCATCTCGATCCGGTGTATGGGTTCCCAGATGTTTCCTTGGCCCCTCTTTCTGTTCTTCGCGTGTAAAGCTGTTTTCGCCATACATGGTCGATTTCCAGTTGTCACCACATTTCTCGAGCTTACTTCTTAACAACCAGGTGGTCTCGATTATTTCAGTTTTGTTCTCCCCACAAATATGGCATTGCCCAACCCAACCAGTAACAGATGCTCCACCACGCCACACTACCATAATGGCGAACGTGCTGTTGGGATTGCCGGGTGTACTTATGCCATACACTTTAGAATGGCTTTCTCCTGCTGAGCCTTTTTTGCGTTCCACAGCAGTACGATACTCTCCAACAATGATGCCATTAGCATATTGGTTTAGTATCACTTCAGAACCTAGCTCGTTATACCAAGTTCCGGTTATGTCACATGGCTTACCTGATGTGTTTGTAGGAGCAAAACCTGTTGGAAAAGAAGGGATGGTTTTATCCGGTTTACGAGGGCCGGGGAGTTGCTCTGTTCTTGTAAAGGTGTCAAGTCCAATCATCGTAGACTTCCATTTGTCAATGCAGGTATAAGCTTGTGACCGTTTTAACCAGGAAGTAAGTAGCATTTCTTTTCCATCTTCACATACAAGACACTGACCGGTCCATGCTTTCGTTGATGATCCATTAGACCAAGTGACAGCAAATGAGAAAGTGGCCCCTGGAGAGTTATATGGAGCAGCACCTGTTTAGTAATCAAAACGTTCTTGAGTTCAATATTTTAAACGTAATCATTAGCATTATAAATTGTTTTGTAGGTATTCGAAAGGAAGTAATTATTTTCGTTCTCATTGTCATTGTCATTGTCACACTCACACTCACACTCACACTCACACTCACACTCACACTCACACTCACACTCACACTCACACTCACACTCACACTCACACTCACACTCACA